TTTAACCCTGGATGAAGTTCCACAGTTACAATATTATTCTAAGTCAACTATGTTGTTCCTACCACAAAATTCAATGACAATTTCCTTGATATTCCAATAGCATTGACATTTATAGATCAGTACTCTGTGCAGTACTCATTTTTCTTAGTTTCACAAAGGAAGACCTTCCTTTCTAACTCTTATAGTGTGAATTCAGTCACCAGTTTACTGAGATGCCTTCCTCAACACTGTGAGCCATAGATAGAACTCCATTATCCATCATCCTTCATCTTCAAAGACTCATTCCCAGTGGCTAGGTTAATGCTTAAAATAAATAGTCTCAAAAAAGCAAATCCAAATCAATGAATAAATGAGTATGATGCTTCGGAACAAGATCAAACTTAGGGCTGAATTACACCAAAATCTATCCTATGGTAGCCAATATTGAATGTATTCTCAGAACAGTGGAATTCTTTTAAAATTACAACTTGTTCTATTAGCAATATGTGCTCGCATGGGAATTTGCTAAATTCTTTAGTCCTTTTTTTTAGAAGCTTAAAATATGGAACGAGTTCACAGAGGTGGAATAGTTTCAAGCAATAGAAAGCCAAGATTAAACTGCTTCAATTTCCCCCCTGAGAAGAAATCATTTATCTTTAGTGGAACTATCAGAGTCCTGGATAAAAATTTTTTAAAAGGTGGATTTGTCAAATAAGGCTCACTTTTTTGGAATATGCTTCTCAATGAATCATAAACGTTAGCTTTTTATTTGAATTATTCTGATGCAATTTTGTAGACATCCACGCCACTTTAGTTTAGAGCCCGGACACTCATTTGTTTGATGTAGGAATCTGAGGTGGTCTTAGCAGATTCAACTTGGTAAAACTCAGTGATAGGTGCTCTGTGTTGAACAGATGAGAATCAGCACTCGTTTTGTTTTGTTTTTCCTTTGCAAATCACAGAATGAAGAATCCATTCGAATAGAAAAGTGAAAAACGAAGATAAGAAATGCCCTGTCCAAAATAAATCACCCTACCGTTAGGGACATCTCCCACCTACCTCCTATCAACTCCACCTCCCCAGCCCTGCCCAGAGAACATCTGAAGACATTGTTGGCTACTGATACCCAGTGAGTGTGGCGCCTAGGATAGGAGCGCTTCTTATCTGCTAACACAGAGAACAGCAGCCAAAACGAAGAACCAAGGACACATTTCTCAGTTGAATGGAGGTTAAGGCAGCCCTGTCCGGTCTCCCGAGGAAGACTGAGAAATCTCAACAGCTGGATAACCTGCCTCTCCTTGGTCTGGGGCCATGGACCAAGGGGAGCTGTTGTTCCTGGGTAGATGGATGTGCAACTCTCTTGGCTTCCTGTCCTGTCTCTGTGTTCCATCTCTCCAGCTCTAGGGGCAGCAGTAGTGATTACAGAGGGGAAATATTTGTCTGAAATTGGATCCAGGCTGTGTGGTCTGGAAAGGCTCACTCACTCCCAACAGCACAGTTTGGGAGGTGCTGCTGCAAAAGTCAAATCTCCTCCTCCGTCAGTAGCTACAGAAAAGTGAGGGAGGAAGATGTCAGGTGGTTTGCATTTGTGGGACTACTGACCCCATCCTCCTGGCTGGCCTTCCCGATGGCACAAGACAGGAATCAGTGAGTTCTCAGCTTGGCCCGGGGCCTTTGCTTGATCCCACAACAGACAGAGAAGGTATTGGAGCGAATAGAGGTTTTCACTGCCAGCTTCTCCTGCTCTTGGAAGGAGATCGCAGTTAAGTCACTAAGACTTTTCCTTTGTTTCTGTACGGTGAACAGGAAAACAAAGTTGTGAAGGCTCGGCTTGTAGTGAGGTTTGTTCCTGTTGTTGCTTTTAGATTTCTATTTTTGTTTGTTTGGCTATTGGTTTTTAGTGTTGGTTTTAGATTGAAGTTTGGGGTTTTGAAAACATAGGCTCATTAAATAGCTCAGGATTGCCTGGAACTAGCTATTGTTCTCCAAGTTGACTTGCAACTTCCATTCTCCTTCCTCCTCCTCCTAAAGGCTCAGACTGCAGGCATGTAATACTATGTTGCCAACTATATTGACATTGTATGTGTGTATGTGTGTGTGTGTGTGTGTGTGTGTGTGTGTGTTTCTGTTTAAGTTAGCGTCCTTCCTTCCTTCCTTCTTCTCTTTCCTTTCTTCTTTCCTTCCTTCCTTCCTTCTTTCCTTCTCTCCTTCCTTCCTTGCTACTTTCCTTCTTTCCTTCCTTCTTGTCTTTCTTCTTTCTTCTTGCTGCTTGTCTGCCTGCCTTTTCTAATGCTAGTTTGTGGCATTTAAAGGGACAGGGATCAAGTATTTGCATTAGAAGATTGCAGTCCTTAGTGCATGGTAAGACAATGTCTCTCAACTCCTTCCCTCTCTCTGAAACTAAAGCAGTATGCTGGCAAAATACAAAGCAACATGTTAATCTCTGTAAGTGAAAGCATAAATCAGGCTGGAAATTTATAGTCCCATCTTAACCATATATGCTACCAATAGCTCATAAACATCTGTTGCCATTTTTTAAATGAATGGGTTATATTTCTAGCATATTTGAATGTAAACTACTTAGGATTCCAAAACACTCCCTTCTTCCTGCACACTGTCTCCTGTTGACATCTTCCATTCATTGTATCTTTTTATTGTGTCTACCATCATGTCTTTTATTTCTTCCCAGGTTCAACCAGATCTTAATAATTTTATTTACACAGTTGCTCACTTACTCCATCCCCATACTCTCTTTTTCTCTTGCCTTAATTCCTACTATTTTGACCTAGAAGAGGTTAGAAATTACTTTTGTTGCCTCAGTCTTTTAATCTAAAACTTCATTTCATTGCTGTGTCCCCTTTTCTAGTTTGCAGAGCTGATTATTGTTCTTGAAACCAAAATGTTATCATGTTTTTCTTTCCTGCTCTATGATCACCAGTTATCACCCTTGTACAACCAATAGGCCAAACACTTGACAAGAACAAAGGACATACATGACATCACATTTCTGCAAACTTCTATAACCTCATCTCCTCCTTCTCAGAGTCTGCATTCTCAGTCCTCTCTGTTCTCAAAAACAGGCAACCAAATTAAGATTCCTCAGAGTAAAGCATTTCCTTTCTATTTTTTTTTTCATCTGTTGTGGAGCTTGAGCTCAGGGCCTTGGTAATGTCCCTGAGCTCTTTTGCTCAAGGCTAGTGCTCTACCACTTTGAGCCACAGATTCACTTCTGATTTCTGCTGATTAAATGGAGATGAGAGTCTCGCAGACTTTTCTGCCTGAGCTGGTTTCAAACTAAGACCCTCATATCTCCTGAGTAGCTAGGATTATAGGCATGAGCCACTGGTGCCTAGTCTTTTTTTTTTTTTTCTTTTAAATTATTTTTTCTTTTTTCTTTTAATTTAATTGAATGAAACTTACCTGCTGGCTAGTATGGGTAATGCCAGATACTGTAACAAATGGACACAAAACTCTTAGAATCCCCTTTCTGTTTTTGGGTCTGATACATATCTTATTAACTATAAAAAATTTGATTACACATAATCTTTATGAAGACTTTCATGAACATCCCATTTTGAAGTGACCATTGAATTGTTTATGTTCTGTATACAGAACATTTTCTATGTCTCATCCTAGGGCATCCTATTAACTTATGTGACCACAAAACACTACACAAGAAGCTCTTTTTTATCATGTGCAATCAGCTTTTATTTCCAGGTCTCAGGAAACATAGTCAACACTAAATAATTTTTTAGTGAATGAATATATAACTGAGTGAATGAAAATGCATGCCATTTACAACTTTGTAATATAAGTTTCTATCATGGCTTAGAGTTTGACATAGTTAACAGTAAAAGCACACTTTAAATATATAGCTTGTCATCAATTTAAGATTTGACAGAGGCCAGAGCAGTCTTAGGTCTCTGGTTAAGTTTTCTTAGTAAATTAAGGCTAACATAACAGATTTGAAGATGAGAATCCTGAGTAATATTTTCCTTTCACTTGATGCTTATCACCTTCCTCCTTTTGATTTAGAATGTAAATAGCATAATTTTTTTAAGACCAACTTGTCTTTTCACAAGTAGTAATGCCTACAACTGAAACTCAGTTTTATTTTGGGGAAGCTATATGGCTTTAGGCAAATCTTTTCTAAGCCTTGGTCTAGTCATCAATAAATGGAAAGCACAATTCATTTATAATCACCACAGTGGACATGAACTAACTTCCACATTCTAACTCTCTTAGAAGATTCTTAAGAATTGTTAAGTTCTTATTCGTTTTTTTCTAATTTCTAAGCAAGAGTCTTTCAGTTTATTAAAAGTGTCAAATAACAACCAATCACCTGTATTTCTGTTTTTTTTCCTTATTCTTTAAAAAAATTTATTTTATTGTAAAGATGCTATACACAGGGGCTATAGTTAACCTGAGTAAGATAATGAGTACATGTCTTGTGGAAGATTGTTACCTCCTCCTCTGTTTTCTCCTACTGTCCCCTCTCTTTCTCACCTCCCCCATTCCCCCATGGCGAAGTTATAAAGTTCATTTCCAACATAGTGTCTCGTGAGTATCATTGTTGTAATAGGTCGTCTCCACTACATAAAATACAACATGGCATAGTGAGCATGTTTAATATGTAATAAAAATGGAGAAGAAGGTGAAGGAGCTAGATGTCAGTTCATGAGCTATAGAGCAAAGTTGTAGCAGACATAGTTTTGCTTCTTGTCCCTTTTGGTAATTTGTGCATTTTCCCACCATATTATCTCCAATGGATGGCTCCCAAAGAGCCTGGAGGCTCACATTTTCCACCTGCTTTCTCCCCAGGAACAACAGTGCTGAGTGTAAAATCTCCCTGACTATCTCCAGACATTCTCCTCCCCTTCCTTACAAGTAAGGACCAAGCAGAGGGCAGGCTTCCCTTGAAACTCCTCTTCTGGACTCTGTTCTTCACGTTTTCTCCTGGAATGATTTCAGATCTTTCCACTCAAAGTCTGTCTGACGCTCTCCTTCTGGAAGAACTCAAATGAAGATGGGAGGTTTGCCATAAAAGATGTAGAAAGAACTGTCAAACCCAAAGTGAATGCAAATGAGAAGAAAACCCCATATAAGGATTTACAAACACAAGTCAAAAAAGGTCTAGACATCTTATTAATGAGAACATCTGCATTGCCTTGCTCCATTGATTGGGTATTGCATTGGGCTGGAGAAAGTTTTCATTTTGAAGGGCTGATTATATGAATGGCATTGAACTGAGACAAGGACATATCCTCAGGATGATCTTTAGAATCACACATGTGTTTGGGCAAAATATAGACTCCTTACATGAAAATCCTAAAATAATAAAAAATAGAGTGAAGGGAATTAAATGAAACAAATGTACTTCATTGTCAAAGCCTTCAGTATGGCTATTAATACTTAGCATGATAGATTTTTATAAAGCAAGAGATGTTTTACTATGTAAATACATAGGGTCCTATGTGTGCAGCACATGTTAGATGTAAAAGCTCCACAGAAAACGTCCAATATGTGAGAGCTCAGTAACACGGGTCTCCAAATCTCACTCTGTCTTACATTAGTTTTTCCTGCTGTTCTGAGAAAACAAGATGCCTTCATTCAAGAGGAGAGAAGGAGAAAGGAGCCATTATATTCTTTTGACTATATTTGGATTCACCAAAATCCACCCTCCAGTTTCACACTAAATTCTCATTCCTCATATCTAGGTCTGTCTATGTATCTCTATATATCTATGTGTGCATGTATGTGTGTGTACATGTGTGTACAACAATTTACTATTAGGTACACACTTAGAAAAAAAAGAAAAGTTCCCTTCTCTAGTGGATTTCTGTCTCTCAATTAAGGGGACAGGAGGCCCTGATGGGTAGACTTATAGTTTATAACATCTAGTAATTGAGATGACTATAATCATAAGTATGGAAAAAAAGACCCTTCAGCTCAGTGGCTGTATAGTATTTCTGCAGATAATGAGATACTTCAAAAGATTTAAAATCATAGCACTGATAATGGAATTGAGCATTTATTTAATAAGGTGGCTATTTCATTCATTGTGAAAGGTTGAAGAAATATTTTCAGTAGAAGACACTGCTAACAAAATGTCCCTCAGAGAAAAGAAAACTGTGTTTTCCAATTTATTTCCTTCCTTCTTCCTTCCCTCCCTCCCTCCCTCCTCCTTCCTTCTCTCCTTCCCTCCTTCCTTCCTTTCTTCCTTCCTTCCTTCCTTCCTTCTTTCCTTCCTTCCCTCCCTCTCTTCCTCCCTCCCTCCCTCCCTCCTTCTCTCTCTCTCTCTTTCTTTCTTTCTCTCTTTATTTCTTTCTCTCTTTATTTCTTTCTCTCTCTCTTTCTTTCTTTTTTTTTCTTTCATTCTTCGCTGTCACAGGAGGAATGGCTAGGACCCATGGGGTCTGGTTCTAGGCTGGTTCAGGGCAGGTGGTAGTTCAGTCAATACTGCTTACATCTCTCTTTACTGTATGATACATGGTAGTTGTCAAAGATGACATCTTTTTAGGTTTAAGCTATTTGCCGCTAGAGTCAAAAGCCCTAATTGCTAGCTTATCTGCAATGTCCTATAGAAAAAGAAGGCATGGGTGGTAGATTGAGGTTTTCCATCTTGGATCACCAGCTTTAATCAGGGAGGGTTTCAAGAGGAGAAGGAATTGTCACGGTGGTCAGATGCAAGGGTGCAGACAATGCACAGCTACCTATGCATGATGATGGTAATGATGATGATGATGATGGTGATGATGTTTGTTATTATTATGAGTCTCTAACTCCATAAGGGCAGTCTTTAAAACAGTAGCTTCTTCTGAAAATATTGCAAGGCAATTAGTTTTTTTCACCAGTCCAATCTAGAAATAAGTGAGTTCCATGGGGGCTTTGGGTGCTGACACTCCCCCTTTCCCAGGTCTCCCCACCTCCCACCGATGCAATCCACTGACAGCAAGCAAACGTGTAGCAGTGAATATAACAGTTTCATCTCATTCTTCTATTCTGTGGAGCCAAATGCAGAAAATGACGTTCACCTGACAGGTACCAAGGTCAAAGTTCTACTGGGAGGGGTTTCCATGCAGTAATGGTTACAATCCACTGTTCATAAAGGATTTATTTATGAGACAGGGTTATGTTTGATGAAAAATTATATTCTTTGTTTTGACTATATACTGGACACACACAGCATTCATTTCTAATTAAGGAGAGTCATAAATCAACACCACCATGTGCGGTACAGTAGTTTACAGCTCTAACCTAAATGGACAGACTTCTGTTTCTGTTGCTCAAAACACATAAGAAACACGGGAGAATGAAACCGGTGCTCTGCTCAAAGGCAGTGAGCTGGCCACAGCCATTCAAGGCCAGTCTCATTATCCACTTACCAGAATCTGGTTTCTTGCATCATTTATTCATTATCTGAACCACAGTATTTAGTCTATCCTATAAATACCTTTCTAATTTGAATTAAGATAATGTTCTGAGCTTGTTAGATAGGGCAGAGCGCAGTGTGTACGCACTTTAAATCTAACCAAGTCAGGGAGTATTTTTGCATTCCAGATAGAGCTAAAAATAGTCACCCATTAAAATAGTAATCATCATTAAAATTAGCTTGCTGATTTTGCTGATTAATTTTTCAGTAACGAGTATGCTTTCTAAAAAGTTCCAATTGAACATTTTTTTACAAATCTTATTTTTTAAATGAAAAAATGAGATAATTTGGAAATAAAAATTGTAAAACTAATTTTCAAAAAAAGGCTACTTTTAAAAAATAATAAAGGATTGGAATCCCTGGTATATGTAGGGTGCAGAAGGCACTCCAACTAACCTTTTTTTTGGTCTGTGATCCTCAGTCTTTGAAAATGTTCTTTATTTTTGTCTTGCAAAGGAAGAGAACAACCTATCAGGTTTAATTGTTTGAATGACAAGAGCCATTTTTGTGAGATTTAATTTTTTCGTGTATTCATACATAACAGGCATTATTCAAGTTCAGAACAATGTTGAAATCAACTATCTGGAAGTATGGCTTTGATTAGAAAAGATAAAATGAATTGTTGTTTACTTGCTTCTAAATAGTCTCTAGTTCCTTTCTTTCATTTTACCCTTCTTTTTTTGGACCTTGGTATTATTTTAGCTGCCATCAAAGTCACAAACACCTAACCATTCTAAAATATAGCTCAACCCTATAGATAGATAGATAGATAGATAGATAGATAGATAGATAGATAGATAGATAGACAGATCAATCCTACTGAAAATCATAGGAAAGAAAATGATACTGTTTTTATTTCAGTTCTTTTAGAATATCAACCACTTACCATAACCCTTAAAGAAATGCATTGGAGATATGTCATTGGTTTCAAACATGTTTAAGTATGTTTTAGGTGTAGAAGATAAATATTAACCCTAAGACAGAAGCCTATTAAGAAAATAAGTACAGAAACGTGGAATACAAAAAGTGGGAGAAATTTACAGGTGGTTGAGTATTTACAGTAGATATTTATACATAATCTGGTACTGACAAAAAGCAGTTAACTACTGCTCTTCACCTGTGAACAATGGATGTGGCATTCTATTTTTTATGGGTACATGGAACAAAGTAACAGTGATATTCAGTCTGTCCTAGAATATATTGTCATGTAAAGGCCTCCTGACCTTTCTTGAATAATGGGTAGTTGTAGATGGAGAGAAAGACAGGGTCTCATGTCAAAATGATCTGGTATGTGGCAGGCAAAAAAAAAATAGTAGCAATTAACACAGGGCATTCATATTTCCATTAAACATATACATTTAATTTTGGAGGTTACAAGTAGTACATAGCTATGAATTCCTTTATTCTCAAATATTATGTTACTCTGGTGTTCAGCGTGCTCTAATAATGTAATTTAGTGCAATATTTTACAGTGAACTATTTTCTATCATTTTTAGTGAGCCATTTTCTACAATTTGAGAAAAAAATATGTCATTTAGACCCAAGAGGCTGATTATGCAATCTTTTTGGACATTTGTCTTGCAAAGAGATACTCAATGAAAACATTGAGAAAAGATCATTTTTGTATTATGTGACAAGGTACAGCTAAAATGTTTAGTATTCAAGAGAAACTGATTGTCTTGTCTGTCTCCTACAATTTGAAATGTAAATCTACTTGATAGCAGGTAAGAATCCACCAGGAATGATCAGAATACAAGAGTCTGTGCATATGTGTATCATTATGTGCATAGATACTGATAGACAGATGATACATAGATTGATAGAAGGTATTTGAACAAACACTCAGTGGTCCTAAATTTTTGTTTTGATTCTTCATTACATCGAAAACAAATGAAAGTAAATGGTTTGAAATACTGTATGCTCTGCGAATGTCTTCTTATTTACAAAACGAAATACAAATATTTCAGGACATATAAACTCCCAACACTACTCTTAGCACCTATATGAGGAAGTCCCATATTGTAAGGAAGGAATTCACTTAAAAAGAATACAAGGTTGACTTAGGATGGTTATTTCTGGACGTTCCAGTCCAAATTAGGCCACCTCTTTTCCTTGGAGCTGCTGTAAAGGTCTTGAAGAACAACTGAGGGGCGCACAGGCCTGAGCTCCCACCATGAGACCAGAAGGGGGTGGAGCGTCACAGGAAAGCACCCCACTTTCCACTGGACCCAAGGACTCATTCACCAGGCCCCAACTCCTGGAGGTCCAAGCACTTCCCAATAGCACCACCCCGGGAACCACGTCTTTACCACAAGAACCTTTGGGCAACACCCATGTGGTTTGAAACCGCAGTAGAAACAGATGTGAACCCCTGGCCTTGGCTTGGGGTGCCATCCATCCCTTGTGGCATGCACTTCCTTCCGCTCCGCCCCAGCCCTGGACTACACAAGCCTCTTGCCAGCCCGTGGCACCCCCTACTTGCATGTTTTTGACCCCAGATGAACTCTTGCTTGCTGGCATCTCCGCTAGCCTATTCGTTTCAGCACTGTCAGGGCTGAGCGCAGCCCTGCTCAGAGCTCTGCACCAGCTCTGTGGAGCCTGTGCCTTGTGTGGAAGACGGACTTGTGCCACGGCCTGGCTCTGGGATTGCCCTCTGGCTCCTGGACTCTGAAAGTTTCCACAGCCAGGGTGTGCCTGAGGTGGAAATCAACCCAGAACTGCCACGTGAGCATCAGAAAGCCCAGTCCCTTAGCCTCCATGGACCAAACCCTAAGGCAAGGTCGTTACCTGCAGCACCTGGAGAAAGCAAGCACGGGCAAGATGGCCCCTAGGCTACCACACTGCCCCGGTGCCCTCCTCTCACAATCTCCCTGCCCTTCCTGGGCAGTCCTCGTTGGGGGGGATTTATATGATTTGCAGTTCTGGTGCTGCAGCCTGGGTCCCTATGAGCAATCCGACCCACTTGGAGACTGGATTCCAAAGCCCATAGAACCCCAGGATTTGGGATTGACTCTGCTTCCAGTGCGAGCCACATGCGCTGGGTCACCTGGCTTTGCTGGTCCCTTCCCCCACGCTCCACAGTCTAGGAAAGCAGTGGTTTGTCACCCATCACTGCCTGGTTTTTTGATGCCCATGATGGTGAGATCTCGAGGGTTTTCATCAGTTCCTGGCAGGTTCTCGGGGACTGTGGATAGATGAGCAAATCTCTGCGGGAGGAAAAACACTGGGTCACCTTCTACCTGGGTCCCTGCGTTCCCCATGGTGAGCTACCTAGGTCATTACCTTCCTGAACCATCCATCAGCTTCTCAACCTATGCTAGCTTCTTCCCCCCGCTGCTGCGGTGAGGGAAGAACAAGAAAAGGCACAGCTCCAGAAAGGAGTGAACTCACAGAGATAGAAAGTCCAATGACCGGATGTCAGATATGCCTAAAGGTCTTTTCAGGGAGCCCAGAGATAGTGGTTATAAAAGAATCATGCATTATTAACCAGAGGGGCACTCTTCCTGCTTGAAGAGATTTGTGTCTCCTGGATGGAGAACTTTTTGAATACACACTAAGGGAATCAGAGAGCTTCTAGAGGAACTGGATTATCAAGTTCTTTGTGGTCAGGCATCAAAATGTCTGTTTGCTAACACTTTTCTACAGAAACTCAGGGAGGTGGACAGAGAGCAAGAGTAAGTGGAGATAATTCTTCATGAGTTTCCTCCATTAGCAAAGGTTGCAAGTCGTATTTAGTTGTTTATTTTGTTGTTGTTTTTTAAAATCAGATATTGGGAGATGCATGGATTTAGGAGACTTATTAATTGGATGAAATAATTGGAGCTCTTTCTATATAGCCAGCATGAGTCTGGACATATTACAATGCAGGCAGAGAAAGAAGGAACACTCAAATACTGTTTAACACAGTGTTTTCAGTCAACTGTTAATTAAATACCCCAAAGACTTTCCCTTAGCATAATAAGAGAGTTTCAATCTACCTACATTGATGATTACATTTGAATTCTAAAATCTTGGTTTCTGTCACCTTTCATTAGTAAATAGCCACAAGTTGTAGAATTTATTATTCTCAGAATCAGGGATTTTTCATGTTGTTCTGGGGTTTTTTTTGGGGGGGGGGCTAACTTACACATTTGCCTAAGAGAATTTCTGAATGTTGTAGAATAGTGATTGACAGTAAAGTAAAATTTATACGTAATCCTACCTAATAGAAAAATAGAGGAAAAATGATTCTCAACATATTAGCATTGAGTGAGTAATCACTTATATTCAAAAAGTATTCATCACATAACTAAAAGGTTCTATGTAAGAGTACTATATGTAGTGATTTTCTATGGAGCAGTTAAACTGTGATTTCTTTCTGAAAGAAACTGGGATATACAATTTGCATGCATTGCCATCCATACTGAAAAACATTACATGTAAGTATATAAACATGGTGTGATAATCAATACTAATATGAAACGTAAAGTATAGTTCCTAAGTTTGCATTAGATTATTAGTGTATTTTAGTCAGTTTTCTGTTACTGTCACATAGGCCGAGATCAAGAACTTACAAAGAGTAAGGTTTAGCTTGGATAACAGTTCAACTTGCCCTTTGCATTGGACTTGAGATTGGGCAACCCTTATGGCAAGGTGTGTGTGGTACGAAAAACCATCTTCTCAAGACCCAGATGGGGGGAGGGAAGAAGAAGAGACCAGAATCCCCCCACCTCCTTTGAGAGCACATGCCAAACCTCAGAAAGATTCTCCTTTAGACACCACTTAAACTGGGGGGACTTTAATGCTTGGTCCACCAAGCTAGGAATCAAGCTTTCTATACTAGTGTCTTTGGGAGACATTCTAGTCCTAAACCCCAGGAGTGATTTGTGCACATGCATGCACATATGTATGAACAAGTGTGTTTGTGTGCATTTGTGTGTGTGAACATGCCTGTTATGTGAGTCTATGTGTCTGTGAGTTAGTGTGGGTATGCCTTGTGTGTCACAGACATGAGTGTGTATGTGTGTGTACGTGAGTGTGTTTGTGTGTGTGTGTATGATCATCTTGTACAAGCCAACATGCTGCTTTGTGAGTCTGACTCAAAGCCCATGTCCAGCATGGACAGAGCAACTTGCTTTTCCTGGTATGTAGTTGATTCTGCATCCCGCAGAGTGTGCATTTACTAATTGTGTGCTGAAGACGAAAGACGAAGATTAGGTGGATGATAAATTTGTGTGTTAAGTGGAAAGAGCTCGCTGATTAGCTTCCGGAATTGTGTTGCCCAGTTTAAACAAGGAGAGCTTTACTCTTTTCTTTTTCCTTTTGGTGATTAGTGGTTTCTGTCATGTGTTTCCCTGAACTCAGAATGCTGCTTTGGAATGAACACCTTGTCTTCCTTGATGGAAGACATGTCTGTCTCTGAAGCTTTACTCTGGACTTTGAACATCCACTTCCACTGCACATTCCCCCTATATCCTGAGAGAGTCTGGGGTGCTGAGGAACCCAGAGAAGTTTCCAGGCATTTCCATACAGAGGAGTCTTCTGAGTGGGATGTACATATCTGCTCTGCATACTCTCTCCATCCTAGGTTTCAAAACACTCCACAGGCCGGCCCTCGATGTGGTCCCCAAGACTTGGGTAGCTCATTAAATCTTATTGCAGTGGATGTGACTTAATGTTTCCAAAGAGCACGGAGAAGTCCTTCGTAAGCAACCTGGAGAGCTGTCCGTGAATTGTAGCTCTGCCATCTTCCTCTCCAGTCTCCAGTCTATGCTGTGAGTGCTGGAATCTTCCCAAGGCTCCTGTCTGCATTTTACATACTTTGTTTATGATGGCAGTTCCTGAGAGGAAGAATTATATTCTTTTCTCTATGCTCCTCAAATAAAAAGTGGTAGCTGTCTCTTTCTCTTTTTCTTTTGCTGTTTCAGGAAATTTAAGAAGAAAAAATATGAGATAAAAGGATCATAGCAGCTCTTCCTGGAAAAGTAAGGGTTAAAAACTAACTTTCCATAGCATGACAAGTGGATTGTAGGTCTTTGTCAAAATATTCTTACCTTAAGAGAGAAATCCATGTGAGTTTTCCAGTAAAATTTTACTTTTGGAGAAAGTTATTAGACAAGAAGCTTAGATTTTTAGATGATTTAAGATCCAATTGGTGCATCTTTTAGAAAAAAGCAAAAGTAAAAAACAACAAAAAAGTAAAAGATTACGGCAACAAAATCAAGTGATAAAGTAATATCTGGAAAAAATCCAAGGAGAAAGCAAAGCACTCTTCACTAAGAGACCCAGTATCTTATTCCAGCTTCTATAAATAAGCCTTCATTAGAACGGAACCAGAAATTCTATTTTTACTTCATTGAACTAATCAAGTTGTGTGTTCAATACTTCAAGAATTGGAAGTAAAGTTCATAGGTTTATTTTTATTACATTTCTTTCCCCACACATGCTAGGAAAGCACTCGATCACTCTAAACTCCAGCTCAGTTTAAAGATTTGCACTCTAGTTTTTTGGTATTTTTTTAATTTGTGGGAAGATCTTGTGTTGCTTATTATATTAAGAATTTCAGAGCAATTTCACAAGCAGGCAAGCCCAACCTCAACTAGGAAGATTGTTACATGGATTCAAGAAGAAAGAGCAGCCTACATTCATCCTGAGAGGCTACCTGAGTTGGTAAATTGTGTTTTCATTCTGACAATAATATGACATTCTTTACAAAGTAACCTGACATAATCTGCCACTCTACCATTGCTCTGACCATGGTCCCAACATTATTTATTTCTACCTACTTACATTTATGGTTCAAGTGAAATAGTTCAAGTTAAGTGGCAAAAAGAAAAGAAAGGAGTGGTCCAAGACTAGCCAACCACTTGGATAGGGGAGATGCAGTAATATGCAGAGTGTAGTAACTCAAGATTACTACAGAAGGAGATGGACTAATGGGGGGAAATTTAGAAGATGTGTAATAAACAGCGTAGACAATTCCACTTCCTTAGTTGAATAAGTTTGAAGAAGACTCTAATTTGTACATGAACAAATAGATATAGATGTTTCGTGAAATGTGAATTGTTTTATTCACTGCTGCTAATAACCAAAATTGTTTATAGCATGAATTCTGCACACAAATGTAATACAGGAAGTTTACTAGCATTAATCTATCTCTCTCTTGGAAAAAGAAATATAAATCCATCAAAGATCAAAGATGGCTCCCAAATTTAGAAGTAAGATGATCAGATCTCAAGTTCCATACCACATACTTCAGACCTATCACACGCTCCTGTTGGATTGTAGTGCAGTGGTGAAATATTTGCCTAGCATATGTGGTGCCCTGGGTTTGATTCCCTGCACTACAAATGAAAAGTAAGTCCGACATAAGTAGGTACAGGAATAAATATTAGAGGAATAAGAAAAGAATTTGTCATATTACTTTCAATTTGTGCCAACATGAGCCACATGGCTTCTTCCTAGAGTGACAGGCACAGAAAGGCAATCGGGGCTGAGCCCGATCACTCAGACCATAAGATGAACAGGGATAGATTTGATAAAATATCATATAGATCAGCCTTTCTCTTGTAAGTGACAAAATATACCCCCCCCCAAAATCATAAATACAGATTTGACTCTATGACCAAGACTACAAGCTCTGGTTCCAGGGCAGATATGGCTTTCTTTGGAGTGACAAGTAGGTTTATATTTCATTTCTATCTATATCCATATGTATATTTATATCTCTCTCTATATCATATATAATAGATGCATAGATAATAGACAATGTATAGTATATAATATACTATATGCATGAACTGATTGTGTTAACTTATCATTAGAACTTAGGGCTATTAAAGGCTCTCACGGGGAAACATCTCTACTCCAGGGTGATGATTAGCGTGGCAGTGGAGATGTGTCCCTGCCCCTTGTTCTCCTATGTCAACCTGGTATGGTGGCTCTGAACCTGGCAGCCAGCCTGACCTTCTTTCTGTAATAGTCCTCCAGACATCTATCTTCCATCATGCCACTTAGCTGAGTCCAAAATGCAGATCTTTTTCTTCCTTATTTTACCCCCCTACACTTTCTGAGTTGGGGACTATCCATTCTTAGTTATTTTCTAACCTTCTAGAACTCTATAAAAATGTTTTATTTCTTCTCTACCATGTTACACTTCCCAGTTCTTTGTGTATGGACTAATGATCCCCTTTTCTCTTCTCTGGTATTCTGTTCTTATTTCCACAGGTTGACATTTTATCCTATGTTTGCCGATATTACAGGAGAGAACGAGGGAAGGGGTGTTATTGTCCAAAAGGAAATGTTATCTTTGCTTGACTTATGTAAGTGTAACCCTTCTGTTGAATAAAGATTTTCTTTGGATAATAAAAAAAAGTACGATTCTGTTTCTTTTGCGTCTTACTTTCCCGTTTCTTTTATTCCCTTTTCATAATTTATTTATTCTCTTTTTTACAGTTAGTTTGTGGCTTTCTTCAAATATCTACAAATGAGATTACTTGGGAAAATGGAATGCTTGTCTTCAATTTTATTGGATGTGGCCAAATTGCCCTCTGGGGACCACAGTGCCATGTGGAGGAAATGAGAATTCCTGTGACCATGTTCTCACCCCCCAGGGTTTTATGAGGCAGTAACCAGGAAACAAAACCTTATCACTTTTCATTTGTCCTAACTTGCTCAGGTCTCAGGGGATAAACCCTGAAAAGTTAATGTTCTCCATAATAACCCTCTTAAATTATTCTGTGTTTTATGTGGTCCTTGACTGATGTATCCTTGCACTGAAAACCTCTTCCTCAATGGCTTAAAATTTATACCTTTCATATACACATTTGGTCTTGTGTGGGTAGCTGGAACATTCTGTTTTCTTGTGTGTTTTTTTCATACTGTGCTTTTAGCTTGTTTTATATGTATTTTAAACTAGCAAATACTAGCAATACGTTGGAGTAACCCAGTTCCTTTTACTTCATGTGCTGAATTCTTTGACCCTTTGAATTGAAATTTCTCGGTAAGATTCAACAGGAGATTTTGTATTCTACTCTTACTGACATAAATGAATAGAATTATGGATGAAATAATACAAATGGAAAATCACTGGGATGCAAGGAACTTATTTCAACCTCTAGATGCTTGTTGCTTTCTGTCCTTCTAAAATGTAAAATAGGTAGGGAAGTAGGCAGGCATGCCGGCAGACAGACAGACAGACAGATACATACATACACACATGCATACATATGTACATACACACATACACAATACATGTATACATACATACACAGATACATAGATACATAGCCAGATATACAGGTAAAAGTGTGTGTGTGTGTGTGTGTGTGTGTGTGTGTGTGTGTGTGTGTGTGTGTGTGTGTGTGTTGGTACTGGGGCTTGAACTCAGGGCTTAGGCACTCTCAATTGGCTCTTTCATTCAAATTTGGCATTCTACCAGTTGAGCCACACCTCCATATTTGGCTTTTTACTGGTTCCATGTAGGTAAGTCTTCTGGACTTTTCTAGGTGGGCTGGCTTGCAATTAGGATCCTCAGATCTCAACCCCCTAAGTAGATAGGATTACAGATGTGAGCCACTAGGGCCCAACTTTTAAGACCGATATTAAGAAATAGTCTAATGGGAAAGTTGAAATACACGTATTGGCATTTCTGAAGGCCAGACTTGTGAACAAATTACTTTACAGAAACAGTAGATTCATTTGAATGACTACAAATAATTTAAATGAGTAAAAGAATCTAAATCCCCTGAGAAAAATCTTTACGGTTAATTTTGAAAGAAGATGGTGAAAAGATTTACATTGTTTTAAAAATCAAAGACAAGTTTTTAACCTAGGTTTTTAACTGCACTGTATGAGAACCCCTTATTATTATTCTCTTGCTCTGAGTCCTACATAGACACACACATGCCCAAAGTATTCCATCAAATAATTGCTAGGACTTAATTACTCAAACAGAGTAGCTTTTTTCATTATGTGAGATTGTCATTAAAATGACTTTCATTTTTGTTATCTATATTAAAATCTACCAAACTTTAACTTCACAAAGGAAGAAATTATACTTGATAAAATTAGTATAGAAAATTGCAGGAGGAAAAACATGACATTTCATCGGTTCTGCATTTTGTTTGAAGTTTATTAGAAATGTATTTTGTTAGGAACCAAAAATACTCAAATATTTGCACATTTAGCAGTAATCATGGTTGCTATGAGACGGGAGATGTCTTTTTCAAGTCTTTTACTAAAGACATTTTTGTTCTCATAAAATACACTAAAGAGAAGGAAGAATCCCAGTGAGAAAAGAGTGGCATGTTGTATATCAGTGATGGTAAAAAGGAATTCCTTTACGGTGTCACAGTGTCTGTTGGATTATGCAGATTTTCTGTTGTGGCAGTTCATTTCTTGTATCATCTGGATACATATTGTGATATGGCACATCTAGGAAGAATGTTGTTTCTGGGCATATCTCCAAGGATTTTTGTTCCCTGGTGAGGTTAGCTATCTCAACGTGAAAGACTCATCCAGTCTATTGGATGACCCAGACAGAGACAAAAAATGGAAGAAGTACACACATCCTCTCTCTGCCTGGCCTCCAGCTGAGACATTGGGACTGGAGTAGATGATGCACCATCGGTTTACCTGAATGACAGGACTTTGGTCTCCAACTGGAAATGATTCTACCGACTCTCCTGGCTCTCCAGTTCTGGGACTTTGTAATCCCATATGTGATTGAGAGAGTTAATGCAGTAGATAGACAATCAGCTCCCTGCTCTTATCAAATTGTTATAGGAACTCAGCTTATTAAAATGCAATAACTAAAACTAAATATCCTCATATTCTACCAGTGTGCTTTTAATAGGTTCCTTTTTCATTAGTGAGAACAACTCAGAGATTATAGGACAAAAATCAAAAGCATTGAAAGACGAGAGGAAAAAAAATGCAAGGTAGTAAACTTGGAATACATTGCCTTTAATGAGACCAGTGTGCAAACACTTTAATAATAACAATAATGGCAGTAGTAGTAATTTGGGTTTTCAGTCCACAGTGCCATTGTACCAAGGGTATAAAGCATTTCAACGTAATGGGATAATATTCATGACAAAAGAATAACCATAGCCATAAATGTCCATGGTGCTCAAACACTAACGAGGAGCCGTGACACTTCACGACTTGTAAAAGCTTTCCCTCTAAATATTTCTCAGTGGCAGCAGCATTATAAGGCACAGCTGGGGTAAGAGTGTAGCAAAAAAGACTTAAATGAATCAGGTAAACAGAGGTAGGATATTTTCCCCCTTGGTATTTAGCAACTGTATTAACTCTTTTGCTGTGGTTTTCTTGTAAACCAAAGTGGATCATTCACTGACTACGGGTCCACCATGAGACATAACAGATGCTCTGAAATACGAGTGTTCTATGGTTCTGTGCGTGCCTTCCCATCACTAGAGGCTCATCCACCACTCCCTCTTCTGATCTGTTTTGGGACTGCCTTGCTGAGCTGAGTCTCTCCTTATTTCCACCAGTTGTTCTAGAAACCAGTGAATTGATCTTTCCAACAAATGAATCTATCCTCAGCAGACCACCATGAGAAGTACAAAATGTCATGTCAAAACCAGATTTACAATGTCGGTGGGGGGGGGGTGGGGGGGTATGATTGGGTGGGAGGGAGGGGGGAGGCTGGGAAGGGAGGTGAAGGGTAAACAAAGGAGGAGGCTGCAATGCTTGGTAAGAAATGTATGCATTATCCTGCCCATGTAATTGTAACCCCTCTGTACAGTATGTTCTCAAATAAAATTAAATTAAATTAAAAAAAAAAACACAGATTGTATCTTCCCTGTCTTAAAATCATTGATGGTTCTCTTTGCTATTGTGGTGAATGGTGATACAGGTAATTCTACTCCCATCTAGATTGCTGAACAGACAGAGTAGGATCCCAGCTCCAAAGCTATCCAGATTCTTGTTCCACTGCCATAAGGCAAGCTGTGATCTTGAGAGTCCCCCTTCCAAGCCACATTCAAAGGTAAGTTCTAGTGTGCGGTGCTGCTCTGAGAACTAAAATAAAATTAAGTGATTGGAGGGGTCGAGGTGTTAACCTGTAATGTGTAATTTACCTCTGGAAGAGTTTCATGGAAAGCCTTTGTAACTGGTGTTGAAAGACAAACCACCCTCACAGCGCTAAACTGATGAGTGGGGCTTGAGGCTTCTCATGTACTGGGCACAGAGATAAAAGGTCAGAGGTTGACTCCTAGCTTCTTACATATCATCAGAGAAGCCTAGAGCCACTCACTGATACACAGTGGGAAGTGAGGTGAGAGACCCCAGTTTGTGAGGATTGAAGAAGAGAAGCTACTTCTTCCTCATCTTCCAGCTTGAGTCTTCAAGACGTTCAGATCTCCATAGGGCCCTGAGGACAAAGGGTAGCCATAATTCCCCCTCGTCAGTGCCACTCGCAAGACCTGTGAGTGTGCTGTCAAAAATGTCTACCCTTTCATGGAGCTGTTGCAGTTCTGAAATGCACTAGGACTTAAGAAAACACTAACATATGTTAGGAAGATCACACATTTTAATGTTGTGACTTACAGGCTAGGTTCTCGCTGTACTTCCCTTCCTGAAACCCTGCTTTTTGCACATGTTCCTAACTGGACACTCTTCCTCCATTCACTACCTCATCCAGTCCCAGCATCCTGGTAGGGACTCACATGCATCTTCACCACCTTGCTCCATCATCCACCCTGACCAGGGAGCCTCCATCTCAGTCCAATAACTCTCCCACATGGATCATGTAGGAGAGAAAGAATTCCTTTTCCTTACCACATGCCCAGCTTTGGCAGCTGGGATTCTCTAGGTTAGATCACCACTGCGAGCAACAGTCACTCTAAGGAGCAGTTAGAATTTCTGATTGTATAGCAGCTTAGCAACAGAACAATAAAAAAGGTAGTGAGGTGACAAAATAAAGGACAGGGACTTGGAGAGGCAGTAAGAGGGGTGAATGTGAGGGACTGGCATGGGGAATAAGATCACCGTGCAGAATCGTCGGGGCTGTTCTAGGTTGATGAAGATCTCACCTTGTTTCTGCTGAGTATCATCCATCCTCACTAGTGGGGAAAGCAGGCTATCCTTTCTCAATATCTAACTTATCTAAGTCCCATGCAGAAGGGCAGAGAGCTTTTCTTCTATCTGCTACTTCTCAATTGTATTCTATGTAAGACACTTTATGCCATATTAGGGTATCTGCAGGATGGTATGTTCTTTTCTCTCAGTGTGTTTCAGGATGTATGCCATTTTGCTCTGAGCCCTTCCTTTGTGGTCAGAAGAGTCCAGGGCTCCAGTAATCAATCCTAA